TATATGATTTTTCTGTAATCTGAAGCGCCTGTGCGCTCCGAATGATCTAATAATCTACCCCTAAAAATAAGCTCTTTCACCGCCGCTCTCTCGCGTTCGGTCTTTGTTTCCCCAGAGAAGAGTTCGGCGGAGGAGTGCGGGCTCGTTTCCCAAACAGCGGCTGCAGGTCGAGTCTACCCCTAGTACTGTAACTGACTAATCAGTATGCATATAATTTAATAACCGGTACGTAACGGAAAAAGCCGCAAGGATGGAAAATACGTGTATTCAGAGTCACAATTGGTTTTCTCGTTGCTGCTGATTGGTTAAAAGAGGCAACATGTCCCCTCAGATTGATTTTCGCTCCTTGCGTGAGGCCTAGGTTTACTAACCAGTAGGAGAACAGCAAATTTAAAACCCAAAGATATCGCATCATTCTTTAGACGTTCTGTTGCAACTCGATCTCTATTGTATTTCTTACTCTGTAGCTGCCCAGGGGTGTATGTGAGGGACCGAGGCAACTGCCATGTCGACGAAACTACAACAAGAAAAGACAGAAAATATTATCAAGTGGTGCCTTAGTAGTGTCGTGTTTGTCTTGGTCGTAAAGAGTATTGGGTGTAAAGTAATCTTGAATGTAAAGTAGACGAAATTAATGTATAAATCTGTTTTGTGTAGTGAGGGTAAACACCTGATTCTTAAAGAGGAATGTAAACTGAAGGTAAAGCAAACAATTGGTTTCATACTGAACAACAACCGTGATATTTCTATGGTATCTCTGACTGTACAGTTTGTCGACCAGAATCTGCAGACCACTTCATTTTAAAACTGCTATATCTTCCCTTCCTCGGTCGCTGGTGTCTTTATACTGAGTTGTTCAAAATAATTATCGTTACGTCGTTGCCTATCATCCGTACAGCGAAACCAGTACGCGAGCAAATCAATAAGCCATTTAGTTCGTATTCCCGGTATTGGACTGAAAGTAGCTTGCAACTGAGGCTAATGCGGGAAGTCATTTCAAATGCGTACGACATTTACCCCTTTTCAATGATATTGTCCCCCCCCCCCCCCCCCCCCCCCCCCCCCCCCCCCCCCCCCCCCCCCCCCCCCCCCCCCCCCCCCCCCCCCCCCCCCCCCCCCCCCCCCCCCCCC